ACAAGTCTACAACCAGCTGAACACAGTTCTATCCTATGTATATTTACTCAGATGTAAGCCCACTGAGCTAAGTTGGAGTTGATCCCATATACCATGTTTCCCCGAAAATAAGACAAGGTCTTATATTAATTTTTGATCCAAAAAACGCATTAGGGCTTATTTTCAGGGGATGTTTTATTTTATAGTCATGCCATCTTCTGGTTGCTGCACAATGATGGAGGGCGGGGTTTCACTTAACTAGGGCTTATTTTCAGGTTAGGTCTTATTTTCGGGGAAACAAGGTACAAGCACACAGATTGTTGTGTTGGTTACAATTAGCATTACAAGATAATTTTAGGTTATTTTATATACAGAAACAAATCATCTTAAACAGATTACATGAACAAAGATCAGCAACAGCATTTCAACATATATTACTATGTAAAATATGCTGTAATCACACATTTAAAGCCTGTATCCTGGTGAAGTAATTTGTACATCAAGACTGCAACCTAGATTAGCATTCATGAAACATTAGAAATACCCTCTGCATTTGGCAAAAATACTGGATAAGTAAACAGCCCTTTATATTGGAAATCATTTGCAATATAGCCCACTTTATATTAATAATGATTTGAAGAATGTTCCATCTCAGACTACAAGATCTAATAAACCAAATCTAAACAATCAGTTTAGAAACAAGATTAGAGTACTTTTACCTAAAATGCTTGTTTCTACACTGTCATTAGTCTTCTCTTTTTCATAACGCAAATCTGTAGGTAGAAATAGCCAAGAACAAAATTTCAGAACTCAATACAACTACAGGGACAAACAGCAATCATGACAGCAATTTTCTTTAAGGTACCAGCACAGTTAAATGTTCTGCACACTGGCCTTTTTTTAAAAAAATTGTACAGTGGTGCCTTGCAAGACGAGCGCTTCGTTTAACGACAAAATCGCATAACGAAGAAGTTTTTGTGATCACAAAATGATGTTTCCTATTTTTTCGCTTTGCGATGATCGGTTCCCTGCTTCGCTAACTGATCATCGCAAAACGACGGTTTTCGCACAGCTGATCGGCGGTTTCAAAATGGCCACTGGGTAAAAAAAAATTGGCTGCCCTCTGTTTTCTGGGACAGATTCCTCGCTGTACGGGCAGCGAAAATGGCCGCACTATGAGGATCTTCGCTGGACGGTGAGTTTCAAGCCCATAGGAACGCATTAATCGGGTTTTAATGCGTTTCTATGGGCTTTTTAATTTCGCTTTACAATGTTTTCGTTCTACAGCGATTTCGCTGGAATGAATTAACATCATAATGCGAGACACCACTGTATGATCAACAGATCAGATGTGAACAAGACAGAACAACAGCATAAGAATAAACAGAATCAATACAACTATAATATACATTATGTGCGGCAGACTCTTAGGGAGACAAATTCCATAAATAATTGTTAGGAGCATAACCCCACCTCCAATGCATACATATTGATATATGCATGCGTATATGTATATATCTAGAGGATTAAGGCATCATTTCTCGCCTGCAGACTAGTGCTGCTGCACAGCTGGCCACTTTAATCATTACTGATGGACACTGGTCTGCCAGCAGGTAACATGTATAGTACTCATCATCTCTTCCAGGGATGCTTTGCAAAATTGGATGAATAAAAGTGTCATGGAAATCAGTGTAGAAAGAGCAACGGAACATGGCCAACCGTCTCCACCACACCAGCCTCACAAGGACATAAGCGCTCTTCATAAGGAATGTTCTTGTATCTGCCTTTCAGCAGTACCTTAAATTTTGCTAATGTAAAAGCTTTTCTATATTTTGGAAGGGTCAGAATATTCAAATAGCTTGCAGATAAAAATGCCTGACCATAATCTCTAAAGCCAGGATGGGCCGTAGCTATGCTGACATGGTGTTGCAACTCATTGTCTGTGATGTGCTGGTGTAGTTCCAGTTTTGCTTTTGTATAGCCCATTAACAAAATAGAACTTCTCGAGAGGCCCAAATTATTAATTTCACATGCATAGATCTTTCCCATCTGGAATGAAACATATCAGTTAGCACTAAGGGAGCCAATCCCACAGGGGTGAAGAACATTTTTAACCAAAAGTGTAACTTGTATCCATGCCCAAGACTCTATCAGCATCTGGTCTGTTTCTAATCGTAAAAGTACATTTGGCACACAACTCGGGAGTCCAAGAATAGTTCTCAGAAATTTCATTTGAGTGGACTCCATTGCAGTAAAATTTCTGTATCTACACCACTATGAACCATATAACATCTGTGTAAACACCTTGGCATTGAAGACCTGTATGGCTGATGGTATATGCTGACCTCCTTTTGCAAAGAAAAAAAATGTATGAGTGACTTAATTCTTCTCTGAGCATTTGATAATTGAGCCTTCCAGGATCCTAAGGACTGAAAGATCACGCCCAGATATTTATAAGATTTGACTTGCTAAATTGGATGGTCATTTATTTGCCATTTATGTGTGGTCTGTTTTCTGATAAACACTAAGACTTTTGATTTATCATAATTAATTATTAACTCCTCAGTTTTACAATAGTTGCCCAGGGCTCTTAATAACCGCCATAAGCCAACACAAGTTAATGAGAGAAGTGCAACATCATCTGCATATAAGAGAGTAGATACTGTAGAGGTCTATCTGCTAGATTGGGAGAATGAAAGTTGGTTCCAGATAAATTCCTAACCAAGGCGTTAATATAGATGTTGAACAAAGTGGGAGCCAATACACAGCCTTGTTTGAAGCCAGCATATATGGGGATGGCCTTAGTGAGGTGATCTGTCCTGTTACATCTCTCCTTCAATCTGGTTTTTGCATAGAGGCAACGAATCAGGAGCAGCAGCCGCCTATCAATGTTGGTTGTCTCCAACTTCTGCCAAAGCCTGTCTTGTGCGAACATATCAAATGCGGACCTGAAATCAATAAAGGCTGTATATAGTGCTCCTTTGGCCTTAAATGCATACAGTATTTATCCACCAGATGTCATAAAACCATACCATGACCTCCTGTAGAGCGTCCTGACCTGCATCCTGCTTGCTCATCATTTTGGACAATTTAGCTACTTAAAAAAAATCAGCTGAGATCGTATCACACAACTTGTGGTGGCTTTAATAATTTCTTATTTATACGACTGTAAAATAAAGAATTGAATTACATGAAAAGTGACAGGCAGTTTGCATTCAAAAGTATCACCATGGCTTTTAATTAGCATCAGAAGGCCACACTATGTCACAAAGTACCAAACAATTAACTTTAACAGGGTTTAATCAGCTCAAACTAGACTGATCTGCTTTAAGTTTTGTGGATTATGGTGAACAAAACACCACCTTCTTGCTTCTAGTAGGTAATCTACAAAGACTTGTTATCCATGTCTACATAATGTTTAAAGATGACCAAAAAAATTGCTTCACATGACAGAGAAGATACAAATAGGTCTCAGGATATGTAGGTTTACCTGACTTGTTTTTAACAATTTTTGGCAAAGCCAGTAATATTTCTTCATTATACACATGCAGATCAGGAAATAAAATAGTTTTAGGGGCAACTTTGAGCGATGTCAAAATAGAGAAGCAGCTGACTAGGCATGTGTACAATATCTCTACTCTCAGTTCAAATGGACACATGTTGCCATATCTAGCCTTCACCTGGGACAGGAAATATTGTAGTACTTCTTTTAAGCATATGACGATACTTCATTGTAAACACATATGAAGGATCTTGAGACTTGGCAGAAATTAGTCTGTGTATTTAATGGGAAGGGGAGGGTTTTTAAGCATCAAAAGTGAAACCAGCTCTTCCTGTCCCAAGAATTCTTTGTACACCTTAAATCCACGATAAGTAAGAGAGTAGCTGCTACAGTTTTTCTTTGTATCACAACTATTTCACATAAAATATAGAATCACAAGACAGGAAACAACCATCACTATCTGTGGCTTGTCAAGTACTGTAAGTAAAGTAAGAGTACTGTAAGTACTATAAATAGCATAAATAGCATAGGAATGGGCAGTTACCTGCTCTTGGCACAAAATTTTAATATAAATACTATATGCATTAACCCAAGTATTTCTGTAGTGGCTTCAGGGACCAACTTTAAACACATCTGTTTTGCTTTCAAAACATCTCTTTGTCCGTTGCCGTTTTTTTAAACAATACTAGGTATAAATAATATGATGGCTACATTTATCCCAGATAACAACCAACTCAGGAGATAATCCGCATATCTCAACGGCTTATCCAGCCAGCTCTAGGCACCCAATCTCCTAAAAATCCCAGTATATAATAAATTCACTTATCCACCGTCGAAACGGGGCACCTCCTAACAAGACGGGAGCCTCGGGAGCGAGGGGGAAACTAGGGCCCCAGAGAGCAGCTGCCAGCAAACAAAACAAGTAGCTCAATTTATCTAACGCAGAAAACGCCATTCATCCTCCTCAGGAAGAGGGAAAATACAACGCCTTGTATGCAACGCGCACTGCTGGGTCTCTGGCGAAGCTTTTCTCTGAAGCCCGCTGGGCCTAGAGAATCACACGTCGTGTCCCGAGGAGCTTCGTTCTTGCGCTACTAAACGCGAAGGTCCTCTGGTCACATAAAAGGAGAGCGGAGCCTCCTCCCCTGCCTTTGAAGCCCCGACTCACCTCGGAGCACCAGGCAGGCCACCGCCAGCAGCAAGGCCAGCACGGCCACAGCCACGAGGCAGCACAGGACGGAGCAAGCCCGGCTCGGCCACCGGCGCCCCGCCGCGTCGGCTCCGTGTGGCAACGGCGTGAAGGCAGCTCGAGGGGCGGGAGGTCCCTCACCGCTTCCACTTTCGCCGCCTCCCTCCCCGATGTCAGCCTCGGGGCCGCGAGTCCCTCCTCCTCCTCCTCCTCCTCTCTCGGACAGCCTAGGCCCCACTGGGCCCCTGCGGCTGGCAGGGACCTCGGAGCGCCTGTAGTACACAGCCATGGCGACCAAGGCCCCACGCCTTTGCTTTCCCGCGCACGGAAATTTTAAAAAAAAAAACACCCGGAAGCAAAAATGTTTTGAAAGCAAGCCCACCTGAGCCTGCAGTTCAACCGGAAGTCTACCTCAGCAGCTGGAAGAAACTAGGGCACCCGAGCCGGAAGCGGCGGCTGGAGAACGCAAAAGCCCCTCCTCTTCCTCTCTGAAGCGCCTGTCCCAAAACTAGGGTCTCCGATGCTGCTGCGTTCCCGTAAAGAAATGGTACGAAAGCTCGGGACCCCTTTTCCCTCCACCCGCGCCTTCCACCCCTCCCGCCGCGTTTCTCTGTCGCCCTTCCCTTTTTTTTAGACGTACTGTAGTGCCTTTGGGGCTTCCGTAGCCCCGCCCCGCGCTTTCCGCCTGCGGGAGCCGCTTTCCCAGTGTCCTTTGCGCGCCACCCTCCTTCCTTCCTTCCTCCCCCCCCTTCCATTTCCTTCTGTACTTTCCATTCCTCCTTAGTTAGGCCTTTCTGTTAGAGTCGGCCTGATTCCCCGCGCGCGCCTTTTGCTTCCCGCTGAGAGGAGGAGCTTCCCCCCCCTCCCGAGTCGTGTGAGGTTCTGTTTCTTTTCCCCGCCCGGCCGGCCCCCCCTCCCTCCGTTCTCTTTTCGCTCGGCCGCGCGCGCGTTCTCGCTCGCGGAGTGGTTCCTTCCTTCTCCCCGCCGCCTGCCGCCTCACGGTTGTGCCTCTTGACGAAGCCGCCTCGCTCCTCGGCCGGTAGCGCAGCCCCTGCGGCCTTACTTCCGTCCCTGCCCCCCCCGGCTCCCTACCCCCCCCC